AAAAAAAAAAAAAAAAAAAATCCAGCTTTGGGGTAAATAAACGTAGAGACTCACTCTGGGAAGCATAATGACCTTCTGCAGCTTCGTCTTCATGCCCCTGGTATTCTCTGCTGCACAGCTGTCTGTTGGCTGTCTCTAGTCGATCTATGAATAAACAGGAAGTGATTTAAAATAAGTGCATATGGATTTAAGTCAACATCCAATGGTGAAACAAAGTGATGCCAAAGGGTATGGAGAAATGCTCAGTCAGAAGCCCCAAAATGAACAATTTCTGGGGAGAAACTATTATAACTGTGTTCCCAAATATCAAAAGAAAGGGCTTCAGGTGCTGCCCTGTGTCTTTATGCAGTAATCCAAAACATATGCATTAGCATCAGGTAGCTGCTTCCTCCTTCAAAGGCCACAAACCTCTGATTCGATGTTTTCCCAAAATCTTCATAACCTGAATCCCAGCCCTAGTGCAGCCCTGACCATCAGCCCTACATTTTAGTCAGCGACTGCTAATTGAATCTCAGTATCAAAAATAAATAAAAATAACAAATACCAGAAAAGATCAAAATGGCCTAGGAAGATGGTACACAGGAAGTTCTGTTTGTTCAAACCACTTGATATATCTTCATTTATCCAATTAAATAATCTGGCTCACCGAGTATTTCAGGATAAATAAGATATTCAAAACAAAAGGGCTTATAGGAAGAGGAAAAAGTAGTGTCTAGCTAATGGGGACCACAAATAAACAGAGTGTTTGGGCATACAAGTTGACTGAAGAGTGGCCTGACTGACTGAAAGTGAGGTGAAATTTCATGTTTTAAGCCATCATGCACACCAGAGGTGGCCCAGGTTCCACAGCAGGCGGCTCGGATCTTTCAAGGAGATATATCTACTCTCTTCATATCTGTGGGCTTTCATTTCTCCAGGAAGAATATATGTTACACCTGGAAAACCAGGTGCTAGCTTCCAAGGAATGTTAACAAGTGACTCAGCCTGCTGGGCAAGGGGGTGTGCAGCTAGCTCTGGTCCTTTTTCAACACTTTCATCCACACAGTCATGAGCTAGTGCTGAGTATTTTAAAAGAACTCAGGGAGCTACACAGTCCCTTCCCTTCCCAGCCTCCTGCATGCAGATTGTCACTTCTAAGGCCCCATGCTGTTCCCTACTACCCACAAGACCAGAGAGAACAATCCTGTTCTTTGGACACCTCCCCCTGCCAGATGGCTGGAATTTAAAGAAAATCTAACACAGGAAGTTTGGCATGTGTGGCAAATCAGTCTGGCCCTGAACTGAGCTATCAGCACCTGGTCAGTGTAAAGACAAGAGGAGAACTTGCCTCGGAGGTCTCTGTTGAAATCGTGAAGTCGTCTGATCTCCCCTTCTAGTTTGTTTCGCATTGCCTTGTCCAGTGACTCTCGCTTGGTGGTGGACTTGACCAGACTCTCATAAGCTTCTGAAATTCTCTGAAGTTCTTTTTCAAACTATAAGAAAGAAACGGCACTAGTGTGACATTCACGCCAGCATCTTAGTAACACAGATTTGGTAACATTCGAAATTGTGGAATCAGTTCCACTCCAACTTTTGCCCGCTAAGGGCTGCATTAGAATTCTATAAATAATAGGTTCATAAGCCTGTCCAGGCAAAACTCCCCCTGTACCATTATCAGTAAGGGTAAGGGGTGAATCAAAACACAAGCTAAGCCATATGTGTGTGTGTGTGTGTGTGTGTGTGTGTGTGTGTATACATACATACATACATATATACACACATACATACATATATACATACATACATATATATATGTGTGTATATATATATACATATATATATATATATATTTGTATCAGGGATCAAACTCAGGCCCTTACATTTGCGAGGCAGGCAGCAGCACCACGGAGCTAAATCCCTGGCCCAGCCTCAAATATTTTGTATGGCCATTTGTAACTATTATCATGAATTCCATTTAACACAAGGAAAATATTAAAGCACAGAACAACTAAAGCACTATAACTAAAACCCAAACTTCCAGAATCTAAGCACAGTGCTCTTGCAGAGACCCTCCTACCTATCTCCTTGTGACTGAGCAGTTTTACCCCTTGCCTATCCAATTACATATACTAAGGACTAATAGACTTGTACCTATGTGAAAACCAATGTACCACAGGAAACCTCTTTATATGCAGGAAATGAGAGATACTGCTGGATTAAAACTCATTTCTTTTCTTCTTCTTTTTTTTTTTTTTGGTATTTCACTACATTGAGAACAGGGGAGCTTTTAACCTGAGACACATATGAATCTATAATAAGTAGTTAGAACTGTTAGAAAAAATTAATGTATTTGAAGTGTATATCAATAAATCCACTTTGTTATTGCATAACATAATCCAGGAACAAAGGTAAGGATTGGGAAGCATGGATGGAAACTTGGTGGGTTGCTGCTAAGTCAGAATGGGAGGAGACCAGAGCCGTGTTTTTAGTCCCTTGACAGGAACATGATGTCAGCAGAAGCAAGGTAACCTTTTCTCTGAATTCTGGTTGCCTAGATCAGATAGTCCCTTCCAATACTCCTATAATAAATAACATATATACTAACAAATATTCATTACTTGCTTATAATGTGCAGTTTCTTCTGGGTCCAGGGATGCAGAAATAAGTAAGACAATCCCTAGCCTTTAGGAGCTCTCAGTCTAAGCTGGCACATGCCTGGACTGTGCACTTCTACCATGCAGTGTAATAGGGGTATGGTACTGCAGGGTTATGATAGCCTAGAGATAAGAGAATTTTCCAGAGGAGAAAAGGGATTTCTTTTCAAAAGGCTTCAGAGAAAATGGCATTTCAAATAAATATTAAACAACAAAGGAGAATTTGCCAGTCAGAGGAGAAAGACCCAAGGGCTTTGTCATTCTAAGCAGAAGTCCAGTCACTAGAGTCCAGGGAGAGAGCAGAAGTGGCAGGATCCAGGGTGGAGGGAAGGACTTTAAGTTTACAGGCAAGGGGCAATTGTAGGGATGGAAAGGATTGGAGAAGGGTGAGCTCCAAGTCTCATAGAGGTTGGGGTGGACTTGGAGGTTGGCAGTAGAGGAGGCGGGAGAAAAGGAGCCCAGCTAAAAGGCTAATTCTTTCTGGGCATGGTGGTGCATGCCTGGAAACACTCAGGAGGCAGAGGCAGGAGGACTGCCAAAAGTTCAAGGCCAGCCTGAACTACACAGCAAGATCCTGTCTCAAAACAAAACAAAACTTGAGTTAAAATGAAATAAAATTAATTCATTAGAAAAAGAAGCTAATTCTTGGCACATGGGTCAAGATAGTAGGGGAGAAAGAAATCAAGGACAACATAGACATTTATAGCTCAGAGGATAGGGTACTGTGACTTAACCAAGATAAACAACTGTATGAGAAGCAGGTTTACCAGAGAAAGAACACCAGTGTTTCTTTATTGATACCAGAACCCAGCACTGAAGAGTTCTAATTAGCAGCTGTAGTGTCATCAGTCAATGGATGGTGGACAGTACAAAAGTAAGAGACCATTTAGGGACATCATCAGATGATCAGAAGGCCAAGGACAGGGTGCATTCACGTGGAGGGAGGGTTAGGGCAAAACACAGAGAAAGCAAAAGCAGCCATGTCTTAGGTATTGGAAAAACAAAGACTTACAGAGGCAAAGTCAAGGTCAGTGCCCTCAGAGGTTGCAAGGGAGCCAACACAGGGTGGGAAGAAGGCAAAGAAAAGGCTGAAGAGCAATGAAGAGGCTTCTGCTTGGTGGCAGCGACTAGTGGTGGAACCCAGATACCAAGACTCCTCTTCCTTTACATTATTTTCCTAAGGGCTCCTGATACTAGAGCTTTCCATGTACCCCTCATTTCAACTAGGCCTTTGTGTTTCTTCTACAGATACCATGAATTGTTGGTAATGTGCACAGAGAACAGCATGTCCTGAACCCCATTCACAGAGCTACCGCAAATAATGTTTCTTCCTTTTAATTTTGTTTTCAAAAGAGGCGGTTGCCAAACAAATAACATTTCTATGCTAATTTTACCCACAAAACGGGGTCTTTATTTTCAGACAGATGGGCATGGCACAGGGACAGTTTCCTTCAAGGCCACAGGGAATCTCATCACTAAGGTGGTTGAAGGTACCATAGGCCATGGCACGAGGTGCCGCCTTGAGAGGGTGCTCAGTCTGCAGGTCCAGTTCCCCTGTGAGCCCTCCTGAACCACATACCCTCAGAAATCTTCCCAGGGAATGAGTTCACATTATTTTTATCTGTTGTATTTATCTCACTGGAATCCTGAAGTGCACATGTATTTTGTGTCTTTGATTTGACTGTTCCCTCCTCCATGGCAGAAATAGCCCTCCCTGCCCTAAAACTGGACCCTGCCCAGGACCAAAATACTGACTAATTAATCTTTAACAGACATGGGTTCTGACAAACTGTACCTGATCGTGGATTCTTTCCTTCCATGGAAAGAATTTCCTTCTGCACAAAGTGGGAACAAACTCCGGGGCCCCTACAACAGCAATTTTACTATATCAAAGGACAAAATGACCAAGCACCAGCACATGGCTATGTACTTCGGTATTCCCTGTACAAAATGAGAGCTGTAGCGGTGATAAAAGATTAGTATCCTTCAGTGTGTGGCACAGAACAGAGCTGTGACTAAATATGGGAAATTAAGGAGAACAAACTTTGATTCTACATGAGGAAGACTTTCCCAATTATATTTTCCCGAAGTATAGTACACCCACTAATGAGCTTCTCTTCTCTGGAAATATTCAAGTGAAAAATAAACAGCCTCCTTTCTGGGACACAAAACAAGGATTTCTAAAAGGTGGAGAGTCAGAGCAGACCTACATTAAGAACTTTAAATCTGAAGCTCTTTTATTTCTTTTTGGTGCTGTTGTTGTTTGGTACTGGGAATCAGATTCAGGACCTTGTGACTGCCAGGTAGGCGCACTGAGCTCAGTCCCCGGCCCTCTTTTCTTTCTGATTGTACACTCCTTCAGAGCAGGAGCCACACCTTCTTCTTCAGAACCGTCATGTCCAGACATGAGGAGGTCTCTGACATTTGTCACAGAAGGGAAAGACAAACAGCCGGCTTTGATATGAAACCATGAAGGCTCTTTACACTGAATTTGGTACACAGAGGGAAGACCAAGTTTCCCTTTAGTGCCCCCATCCTCCCTCCAGCCCAGCTGCAGGGAGGTCTCGGGCTGCGACCTTAGAGAAGCATTCAGTGTCCCCAGAAACACAACTGCAAGCAGAGCAGAAAGCTCTGCACAGCTTTCACTGGTGCCACTGTCACGAAGCAAGTGAACAAAGAGGGCCCCAGGAAAATCTCAGCTGTCCCAGGCTCTGAGTGTGGGACTTCTTCCCTAGGCACCGTCACCTCCACAGCTCAGGGACACCCAGGACCAAAGAAAGGTCTGTCGTCCACACCACAGACTGCCCAATCAAAGCCACCTTTGTTTTGCTCACAAACAACCAAAGGCTGTAGTAACTGTAAATGCTCAGCCTTTCCCTTCCCAGTGTCCATCTATACCTCTGGTGGCTTCCGAGGCCAACCACTTAGCAGCCCACAGTCTGGTCCTGGTGGAAGCTCTGCCTATTAATTAAATTTTAGGGCAACTAGGAAGAAAGAGAAGCAAAACGAGAAGCCAAAAGCAACAAATCTTTCAGGGGGTTCTCAATCATCATTCCAATACTAACAACAATAACCATTACTTTGTGCCCCTTTGGAAACAAGGCCTCCTTAACTAGGTTGGATTTTAGCAATGTCTGAATTTAGTCATTCTCTTCTGTTATGTTCCCAGCACAATATGCATAGGTTAGGTCTGCAATTAAAATTTCATCTATATTTCTTCTGCTCTTAAAAAGAATCTCTGTGAGGGCCAGTGTCTCCCAGTGCTGTGAGGATCGCAGATGGTATGGAGTACAGGCACCGCATGGTCACATCCTACAGAATGGTGCTGTGGGCCCACCAAGAGCAGGGTGTAAATCCATGCCTGAAACTAGCAGATATCATCATTAAGAAGCAAAGTCATTGCCTCATCTGACCCTGCTTGCCTCAGACTTAGGGCTTAAGCAAATGTTAAGAACTGAGCAGTGCGGCTGATGGTAAGGGAAGTTAAGGGACAAGGATGGCCTTGGGAACACAAATCATGAAATAATACACCACCAATTTCATGCAGCAATTCTATGTCTCAATCCTAGATGCTGAGAACAGCCACAGAACTAATGATGAGTATGCCAAGAATCTAACAAAATTTGAGCTTTTAAATTGACCATTTTGGCTTGACATATGATAGATCTATAGAATGTAGTATTTATGAACTGTTTACAATATTCAGGGAATGAAGGAATTTTGGGTTCCAGGAAAAAAAAAACAGCTTTCCATTTGTCTCCATTTTCAGAAGTCATCTAAATCCTTTGACCACAAATTCTAAGAATCATCCACTGTGCAGAGAAATAGATGTGTTGGCAGACTGAGTGATTTTGTTTTTCAAAAAAGAAGTGTGCATCAAAGGCAAGAAATTACTAGCCAATGAAAAGTATATATTAAGAAGTTCCATTTGACCCAGCCATCCCTCTTCTGGGTATCTTTCCAAAAGAACTAAAAGAATCATATCACAGAGAAGCATGTGCACCCATGTTTATAGCGGCACAGTTTGTAATAGCTAAAACTTGGAAACAGCCCATTTGCCCATCCGTTGCAAACTGGATAAAGAAGATGTGGTTTTTCTATAAAATGGAATATTAGCCATAATGAACAAGAAAATAGATTCATTCATAGGAAAATGGATACATATTGAAGATATACTCCTAAGTGAAATAAATAAGGCACACATGTAAATACCAAATAGTCTCTCTGGTGTGAATAATCTGTAATAATACAGAAGATCCTAATAAGATTACTGACATTTAGAAATGGGAAGAAAGGAGCTGAAGGTGTAGGGAAGGTGGGATGGGTAGGGGAAGGGTAATAAGGGAAAAGGAAAAATGTGAGATAATGAAAAGATGGAAATAAAGTGTTTGTAGATGGGGAGGGGGAGGGGGTGAAGGGAGGGCAGGGGTAAGGGGAAAAAATGAGAATCAAGACTTGTCATGTAGAGGTACAAGATCCCAACAATGAATGTAACTGTACTGTATCCCTAAAATGTACCAATAAACTCAATTAAAGCCGAAAAAAAAAAGAAGTCAATGATCATTTTTTTTTTTTTTTTTTTTAGGTATGATCTCACTAAGATGTCTAGACTGGCTTTGAATAGGTGATTCCCTTTCCTCAGTCTACCCCACCACACGTGGCTGAGATCCAGCATCAAACTCTGCTCTCAGATGTGTCTACAGTGCTCTTGGACATATCTACTCTGGAGCTTCATTAGAGGGAAGAAATACTGGTTTCCCAGAAGTGCTGAGTTGGTTCTTCCCAATTCTCAGGTTATATAAGGCTTTCCTGAAAGGGTCAGAGGCAAGCTGGGGCCTGAGAAGCCACTTACAGGCCAAGGACCACGAGACATAATGGCTGTTTCCCAATTTCCAAGGATTCACATGTGGGTGGGAATGGGGGTGCAGTCTTCAGGCATCCCTGTCTTTTTCTAGCTCTCATTTTCCCCCTGTAATAAAGGCAGCCAGAGGCAAGTCTGGTCTTGACTCAGGAAGCTCCAGACCTTTTCAGTGGAAGTTCTCCACAAACGTGCTAGGGCAGATCCTGTCTGAGAACATTCTCACCATCAGGTCTACCGCCCCCAGCATGTTACTGCCAGTTGCTGGGAATGGAAAGGGGGCTGCAATGCCCAAACCCTGACGAATGAAAGGACCAGCTTTACCTGTGAAATTAATACTAAATAATGAATAGGAAATCACCCAGCCAAAATCATCAATGGCCACATGAAGCCAAAGGGACAATGAATGCTCTTGTAGTCAGGTAGGGTTTATATTCCTATCCTTTCTCCTTAAGAAAGCCTCTTGAGACAGAGTCAGGCATTTAGACTCATAAGATCACCACTATATGCCTCTTTGCCACAGAAACGAAACCCAAGGTTCCTGTCTCTCAGGACTCTGGATCTTAGCATAAAGCTCTAAGGACAAGGGCAGCTGCACATTCTGATATCGCCATTGTAGCCATGTGGGCTGGATTACTCAGCACTCTCCACCAGAAAAATGGCAATCAGGAGGAAGATATGCAATAACCCGTACTTTTGACCTCCAGTGTTGAGTCACTGCTGCTTTTTGCAGTGAACAGCTAATGAGATGACATGGCAAGCCCAGGGTTCCTGAGAGTAACATTTAAAACTGATCTCTCACAATTCATTCCTCCGTGTTATCCTGTTCCCTCTTCCACACCTGTCCACCTGCGGAAGTCCTACTTAGCTCCTACATCCCTGGTCAAGACACCTCCCCTGTGCCTGTTAGAATCCCTGCACACTCTCCTTGCAGGCACTAGCTTACACAACTCTGGATGCAAGCCTCTCCAGTGCAGGCCCTGGGTCATAATTTACTTTTATCTCTCTAAACCCTTATACTGTCTAGCATAGAAAGGGGCCTCTTTAAACACTGACCAGTGAGTGAGTCAGTGAATCTGCACCATGAACAGGCAAAGAATTCTTTCCTTCCAGAACAGCTTCTCCATCCCTCGCATCAGGTAGTCATATACCTTGTGAAGCTTGTCGGCATTGTCATAGTAGCCCTGCAGTTCCTGATGAAGCGCCCGGTTCTCCTCTGTTAGTATCTCCACCATTTGCTGGGCTCGCTCCACAATTGCAAAGGCATCCGGACCAAGCTGCTGGCTAGGGGAGGCCGCTGGAGGGAGCTGTTGAGTCGCCAGGGTCATCGGAAGTGGAAGTGGCAAGGAGACAGAGTGCAGTGGCCCGCTGATGGAGGAGGTCTGTGAGGACATGGGGCTGTGCTGCTGCACTGTTGACGGGAATGGAAGTTGGCATGGGCGGCTGCAAGGAAACAGAAGACCAACGATCAGACCACGGGGGAAGTAGTCGCAGGAAGGAAGGAAGCCCCACCAATATATGTATGCATTGACAGTGACTTCCATGGTAAGGTCACCAATGAGCTTTTCATTAATCAGCTGAGGGCCAGGGATTTAGCTCAGTGGTTCTGGTGCCTGCCTCACAAGCATAAGGACCCAAGTTCGATCCCTGGTAAAAAGAAGAAGAAAAAAAAAAAAAGAACAATAATCAGCCGAGCAGCAGGTTTGGTCACTCATTCCATAGGTCTTCACTATGTTCGCTATTGGGGAGGCAGGCAAGCAACAAAGACCAGGTCCCTGCTCTCAGAAGCCGACATTCTAGAAGAAAGAGACAGGCAAACCAGCAAACAATAAAACAAAGCCAAGTATAAAAATGCAATGAGTACTCTCCAAAGAACGGAATGATGAGTAGCTACTTCTAATTGAAAGGACAGGGAAAGAATCTTGGAGAGGCAAAGATTTGACAGACAAGAAGGAACCAGGGGTTTAGATGAAGGGGTAAAGAAGTGGGGGAAAGGAGTACACCAGGTAAGGCATCAGCTAGGGGATAGGACCCATGGCAAAAATCACCCTGGCATGGGCAAGGGGAAGAGAGCAAGCCAAAGGAAAGCACATCCAGTAACCAGGAGTGCAGGACAAAAAGAGATGGGCAGGGACCCTCATGAGCCAAGGCCAGACTCCCCTCAGAGCGTACAAAGTCGAATGGAGGATCTGACTTTGCTAGGAGTGGTGTGCAGAGGTCACAGTGCATGGTGGCAAGAACAGAGAGACACGCAAGGCCCAGAGAGGAGGACCAGGTGAGACTAACAAGGGCTCACAGGTGGAAGCAAGAAGAGAAACAACTGAGGGTCTAGGACAGGGAGGAGGATGTGAAGAAAACACAAAAATACTCCTGGACTTTGGACTCTGTGCAAATGGATATGTGTATCAATTAGGAAAAATAGGAAAGTCTGGGAAAGAAACTGATTTGTGTTTTGTTTTCATTTTGAGTCCGACTTTAGTGATGTTAGGAAGAACATACAGAGGTACTCCTTGATGGCTCAAATTCCAGTTCTTTTCCTTTGTATATGAAAGCATGAATTTCTACCTCCTGTCTCCATTCTCTAGCAATTTCCTTCTCACTATTCTGTTAAACTGCTTCTTAAAAATCCCTGTATTTTTTCAACCTAGGCCAAGGTTAACTTTTATAGGTATAGGTATAGGTATAAAGAGCAAACATAGTGTTGACATCTAGCTCTCCAACCACAGTTCTCTCTTCTGCAGAGATGAGAAATTGGTTTTCTTGTTGACTTCCTCCACCTCTGGTCTCCATTTGTGAAATGGAGGTGAGGTGTAAGAATGAGCAGTTACACAAACACCACTAGCATTCCGTGCCAGAGGGCAGAGTCCTCTGGAGGTTCTGCTCCTTCTAATCTGTGACAGTTCATGTATTAGCCTCCTAATTCCTGGCCGACCATAGCCAAAGCTTTCAGTACTACCCATTTTTACCAGAAGGTTGCCTGGCCTTATATTTTCCTTTTAAGTATATTTGCCAGAAGACTTTTGGACCCTGTCAGTTCTCATTTTGTAAGTATTTCTCACAGCCAGGGTGTCTCAAAATGCCAGATCACAGCGGCTAAATGCCAAACGGGAAAAGAAAATTTGACAGGGTTCTCCCTCACTCTCACCTTTATAAAGATGGCCGTAGAACAAACCCAGCAGATCCGACTACCGTAACTCATCTCAGGCCTCACTTGGTAACTAGCGCAGAGTATTCCACCTGGCTCACGAGATGCTTCCCAAACAGGTTTCTTTCAGCCTTCAGACTTGGAGCTCCTTCTATTTTACTGTAAAGTAATTCACAACTACATTCCCTGGGCACAGAAAAGAATCGACTCAAAGCCCTTCTTCCTTCCATAAGCAAGCTTCACCTTCTACCTGTCCGCAGATTTCAGAAAAGTACGTTGTCTGGGGAGAACTGACTATTGCATCACTACTACGTCACCCCTTTAGACTGAAATGTTTCTTGCATTTTGATGAGTCTGGGCTTCATTCACACCGAAGTATGTGTGTGTGTGTGTGTGTCTGTGAATATATGTGCTATGCCATGTGTACAAAGAGGTTCGGCTTCATCACAAGAGTAAACTGTCTCCTGAGGCCCATTCACACTGCTCAGATTTCACCCCAGGTGACAGGAACTCCTACAAAGATGTGTCACTAAGTTGGTGCTTCCTGCAGGCTGGCTAACTCCTACAGTGTATTTTTTCATTAAAAGAGGTTTCTGTCACAAGAGTCCAAATATCACATGTCAGATACCACTGCTTTCCATGCAAAGATGCAAAGACTGAGGCCTCTTTCCACTTCCTGAGCATTCTCTGTGCGCTTTCCCCAAGGTGAGGGATAATGGGACTGATCTCCTGGGAGGCCATGGTTAGAAGCTCTGCTCACAGAAACGTCAGGACTGCCTCAAACTCATGAGTTTCAAGGTGGGGCTTCTACCTCCTACATGTATTTTAACTCTAGGATTTGAAGTCTTTTATGGTCCGTGATGGATGGCCCATATTCTCAGACCTCTTTTCTTGGTATGCAACGATCAGAAAGAAAACTGAGAGGCAGAGCGAGATCAAATGATAGTGCTTCCTGTGCCACCCTACACCCTTAATGAGGTGTGAGATCGCAGACAAAGCATGTTTGCCAAGCTTGAAAACAGAAAAGAACAGGCTATTTCAGAATGAGAAGCCAGAGGTCAGACAGACAGCAATAGCCTCACAACTCAGTGATGTATTCCTGCTAACAAGCCCCACATGTCAATGGACAGTGTGCAGGCAGGAGAACAAGCTTCTCCCCTGTCCCACTGCTCATCAGCAGTCAGTGAATGTGAATATCTATACAAGGCAGAAGGATTTCAGGAATGAACAGGGAAATTTCATACAAAATCACACCAATGCTATGAACCAACTTATCCTCAGATTGCAAAGATAATGCCACATTTTTGGAACAAAAAGAAAAGGGAAAAAGGGGATGGGAGTTAACATTTATGGAGAAGGGGCTTGTGAACATAATTCTACACTATAATCGTCTATTTTTATGTGTCTATTTCCCCTATTAGATCATGAAGTCAGATAGCAAGCTTATTGGATAGTCTGTGTCTTGGTCTCCTGGGACCCCAATTCCACGTATCTTATGTGACTGTCAAAGGATCTAAGGAGTACGTTATCAAGTCTGGACTGGAGTAAGCATTGGACAAATGTTAACTGTTATCACCATTATTATCATTGCATCCGACAACTCTTACTAACAAAGCCTAGCATGAGGCAGTCATGAGTATTTTTTTTTTCTGAGTAATATTTACAGAGCAATTTTTACATTCCAGTAACTGTAGTATCCACTGCTACATGCATCAAATCACTTTGACCTTCATAACATAGGTATCACTGTCTACTTAGACAAGGCAAACAAGGGACAGGAAGTAACTTGCCAAACACAGAAACAGATAAAACAGAGATACAGGAACCTAAAGGAGAGTCAAGTCTGGCGCTCTAACTCCAGAGTACTTGCAGCTCACTGCTTTCCTGTAAATAGTGGTGAAAGCAGGGAGGGAAGGCAGACTCTGCTCCTGGATGCCTAACACCTGTGGCCCAGTCTGAGCCACCACTCAGTCCATGATCCAAACCCTCCAACTATAGCACTAGGACTTTTTGGTTCAAGCAACCTTGGAGTAAACACGAGGACTAACAGCCTTGCCTCTGAATGGTTTTCTTGGACTATGACTTACAATCAAGTTATTACCTTTTCACAGGCTAGTGTCTCATCTATAGAAAACACGCCAATAACATTTATTGAAGGTCTGACCTGTCTACCAGGGAGTACATTTCATCACCCTGCTTAACCTTCACAAAAGCGCAGGAAGACAACATTAACCCTATTTCCATGAGAAAACAGTTTCAAGAAGTCAAACCTACTCCTTTCCAAAGAAACCTTGGAACACTAAAGGAAGTGACTATTTTCTAAGTGCCATCAAAATGATCAGTTATTTAAATATATCTGAGCAGGGCTGCCAGAGGCTCTTCACCGAAGTCCACAGTTCTCTACAGAAAAATAAGACGTACAGGATTTTAAAAATGATATGTAAGAGACAAAATAGCCTCAGACTAGTCCTGCAGCATCAGTATCTATGCACAGGCTGACTCTCAGAACTTCACCCATTTCCCTCCTCTGAACTTAAAATTTGACCTGAATCACCCTCTTGACAACCATCTACTACTGCCCATATGCCACATTTTTTGTTATCCTGAATTTTTTTTTTTTTTGGTATGGGGGATCAAACTCAGGACCTTGTGCTTGTGAGCCAGGCAGCAGAACCACTGAGCTAAATCCCCACCTCTTGAATTTCTATTTAAATATAATATTACTTAATAGTTCATTCATGAGTTGTATTTTCTCCCTAATTATTAGCATGCAAGCTTTCTAAGAATAGCAAATTATACTTATGTTGAGTTGGCACCTGAGAAATTTTTGGCAATGGACTTAGTTCCCTAGTCTGGAAGTAAGCTGCACCATATTCACTTGATGGGTTTTCAAAGAACAGATAAGCCTTCAACATTGCATTATTAAGATTTGTTTTGGACACTACAGGTAGCATGTGGAATTATGAAGACACCGGCATAAAAACATAGCTCTGGTGACACTGCCCTTCTCATATATTTGAAGTAACAAATGCAGCTCAAAACTGGAACAATGTTTTATTTGGTTTGGAGAAGCAAGGTCAACTAAACAACATCGAAGCAACAGTTCATTTGTGCCTCTCTACATACAAGGCTTCATAAATAAACTTATATAAGCTTATGCTTTTACATTATGTCTGTGTCATTTAATTCTCATATGCTTGAGCATTCACTGCTCTCATTCCACATACATACTCTAAGCATCCAAATTTAGGCTCAGGGGATTCACAGAACAAACCAGAGTCCTCACCATCTGTACAAA